CCCTTCAGCTCTCCGTCCTCCACCCCTGCAGAAGCACTGGACACCAGTCATTTCCCTGATGCAGGAGCTGGGGCTGGGGGTCTAGCCCAGGAAGTGGGGCAGGGTCTGGGGCCTGGGGTGTGGGGTGCGGGGTGGAGCTGGGATTAAGGAAGGATTTGGGGTTGGGAAGGGGACGAGGAGGACGATGTGGTGAGGTCGGAGTAGGGCTGTCAGGGAGGTGAGGAGGAGGAGGGGTGGGGCAGTTTGGGATTAGGGGTGGGTCAGGCCCCAGGGATGCTGCCCCCAGGACTGAAGGACGGGAGGGCTGGGGCCGCATTGGAGCCTCCTCCCCGCTGGCCCCAGCCCTCCGCATCCACTCTCCTGCCTTCCCCTAATCCCTCAATTTTCCGCTTCTCTGCCCCTCCTCTCCTTCCTCCCCACCCGGGGCTCCAGTGTGGCCTGTGCGCTCCTGCGAGTGACCTCAGCCCTCTCACTTTGTCTCAACCTCCCTCCACCCGCGGTCCCCAGCTCGGATCCCCCCTCTGTCTCTTTGTCTCTGACTATCTCTCTCTCCCTCTATGTCTCTGTCATCTCACTTCCTCTTCCTGTTTTTGTGCGACTTGTCCTCCCGCTGGTCCCCCATCTCTCTCTGTCTCTGCCCCTCCTCCCTCTCTGGGGTCAGGGTCAACCTGTCCCTCCATCTCCCCTTCCTCTCTCGGCCCCTCTGTTCTCCCTCTCGCTCTCCCTCCTCTGTCTCTCTCCCTCTCTGCATCTCTCTCCCCCTCTCTTCGTGTCTCTCTGTCTCTTTGTGTCCCCCCCACCTCAGCCCCCAGCCTCCTCCATCTCTCTGGGTCTCCAAGGGGAGGGGGCCGCAGGGGGTGGGGAGCAGCCAGAGCCAGAGCCTGGCGGTGGCGCCTCCCACCCTCCCTCTTCCCTCCCCCAGTGCTATTTGGTAGGCGGGGTGCGTGGCACTGCGGTTGCCACCTCCCTGGGGACGCTCCCTCGCCAACTCCCCCACTGACACTGTTCTGAGTGCTGGCTGCAGCCCCAGGGACATCCGTGCAGAGACTGGGACTTGGGGAGAGAGACAGAGACTCAGAGACATACACATACGGGGGCCCAGACAGAGACGCCCAGCGAGAGGGAGACACAGAGAGGGCCTGGGAGTGGGTCACCACCCTGCCCCGCCAGATAGGCCTCTCTGTCCCTGGCCTGGCTCCTCCCAACCACCCGACCTGGGGTCACAGATGCACCTGCTCCAGGCCAGGAAGCTGGTGCCTGTCTATCTGCCAGCCTGTCCCTCTGTCCTGTGCAGTGTTGCCTTGGCAGAGGTCCCCATGTGTGTGTGTATGTGTGTGTGTGTCTGTGCCTTCTAGTACTACGTGTGTGCATGACTGTGTGACTTGTGTCTCAGTGTATGTAAATGGGACAAGTGGAGATGTGTGTGTTCCTGGACACAGGTGACTAAGCATGGGGCCAAGTAAAGCCACGCGTGCCATGTCTGTGAGCACGTCCATGTGACTCATGTGCGGTGTTCAGCTGTGTCTGGTGCGACCGTCCACAGCTCTAGAGTTGTGCTGTGTCTGGTGTCCCCAAATCGTGTGGTCACGGAGGGTGGGCCCGAGTGACCAGGACAGGATGAGAAGGCTGAGTCTCAGAGAAACAGGGTGGAAGGACCAAGCGAGTGTGACCCTGAGGGGACCCCAGCAGCTGGGCTGGTGAGTGGGTGCGAGGGAAGGAGGAGCCCCCGAAATCCGTGTCAGAGACTGGTGGTGTGAGTTTGTGTGTTTGTGTTAAGGGGTTGCTGTTGTCTCTGAGCCCATGGGCTTGCGTCTGAGTCTGGGTTGGGACGTGGGCAGTGATCTCTGGCGGGGGAGGGCGAGGAAGAGTGTTGTTCGTAACAGTTGAGGGAGTGAGACGCTGTGTCCAGCCCTACGGAGTACCGGCGGCTGCGCGTGTACAGGGTTCGACTAAGCGTCTTTGTGTGGCTGTGTGTTTGTGTGTGGCTGCTGGATGGTGCGTGTGGGTGCAACTTGTGTGAACTTGTGCCCAAGTCTGTGTGTGAGGCCGTGTTTCTGCGGTGACGTGTGAACACTGATGTGTGTTGGTGTGACTGTGTGTGCTTCTCTGTGTGCTTTCCTGGTCTGCGTGTTATGAGTGACTATGTGTTTTTGTCCTTTTGTTTTGTGTGCCCATGTGGGGATGACTGTGTGGCATTGAGAGGAGGAGTAAGGTGCATCTGTGTGGTGTGTGGTGTGTGGTGTGCATGTGGTATGTGCGGGTGTGTGTGTGATGTGTGCGTGCGGTGTCTGTGTGTGAGATATGCATGTGGTGTGTGTGGTGTGTGTCGGGTGTGTGATGGGGACAGTGTAGTGTATGTGGTGTGTCCTTTAGTATGTGTATATGTGGTATATGTGGTGTGTGCATGAGATGTGTGTAGTATGTATGTGGTGTGTATTATGTGTATATGAGATGTGTGTGGTGTGTGTGGTGTGTGGTATGTGTGTGATATGGTGTGTGTGATGATATGTGTGGTGTGTGTGATATGGTGTATGTGATGTGTGTGTTGTGTGTGTGATGTGTGGTGTGTGTGTGAAGTGTATAGTGTGATATGTGTGTGATATAGTGTGTATGTGTGATGAGTGTGGTGTGTGATGTGGGTAGTGCATGTGTATGTGGTGTATGTGATATGTGTGGTATGTGTGTGAGATACGGTGTGTGTGATGTGTATGGTGTAGTGTGTAATGTGTGTGGTGTGCATGTGGTGTGATGTGTAAGGTGTAATGTGTGTGGTGTGGGGTACGCATATGTGATGTGTGCGGGGTGACGTGTGTGTATAT